CTCTTCTTTTTCTTATTTCCTTTTCTTTTTCGCTTGCTTGCCTAGATTAATTTCCTTCTTTCCTCTTCTTCCTTTCTACCACCCGTTATTTCTCTGGTTTTCATCGGTTTGCCTTTCACTTCACTTTCTTACTTTTTCCTTTTTAGTTTTCCTGTTATTTGCTATTGTTTCCTCTCCACATTGTCCTTTTGCTTTATTGCCCTGCCCTAATCTTTATTCCATTTAGCCTTCCTTTCTATCTTCGCTGTTCTTTACCCCCGCCGGCGATTGGCCCGTTGCCTCCTGCACCGCGCTGGAGACCATCGATGTTGGAGTTTATCAGCGCTAATTATGCTATATCAGCGCCGGGGCGCGGTGCTCCAGCCAAAAAAAGGCTGTTCCGGACCAGCTCTGCTCAGCATGGAAACGTAAGGTTGGTGCCCGCAGATCAGGTCCTTTATATTCCTTCTTTTTGCTTTGATTCTCCTCTTTCTTTGTTACTTCCTTGCTCCCTTTCTGTCCCAATTTTTTGTTGTACAGTCGCCATCCTTCATATATCCTTGTCTCCTTCATTTTCTTCTGCTAATCTTTCTCTTCTTTTTTGTCTCTTTCCCGTCTGTTTCCTGGTTCTCTTTCCCTATGTCTTCTTCATGCTCTTAATTGTAATATTTTTACTACCTCCTTCTCATTTTCTTTCTTTGTCTCTTATGTGCTTCCATTTCCTTTACTAATATTCTTTCCAAATGTATATATAATAATACTAGCAATGAACACGTCCTTTCAATAATGTTCTCATTCTTCTTCCTTGCAATGATTCCTTCCATTGCTTCTTTTTTCCACTTCTTCTCTGTCCTTTTTCTTTTCCTGTTTTATCTTTTTTTTTCCTTGCTTTTTCTTTCTCTCCTCATGGTGAAATCTTTCACTCCCCTTGTCTGTTGCTGCGTTCTTTGTATCTTCTATTGTGTATTTTCACCTTAAGAAAATGTTTTAAAAATAGCTACACCACCACGTCATGAAGCACAGACATGTCCTTTAGCAACAGGGCACTCCCACCTCTCATTCCTCGTGACAGGGAATAGCCTTCTATTCCTCACCTACCAAGCACCTGCAGTTTCCTCTCCCTTCAGGATCCAATCCACCTTTGGAGCCCTCAGTCATCTCAAGGACCCAAGAAATAAATCAACAAAGCAATCATATAGTAGAGAACAGCTTTGTTACACCAGATAATATTCCACCCATGCAGACATCTAATACAAAAAAGGCTCCAGAGTCCAAGTTACAAACGGGAGTCTCTCCTTTACAAAATCAAACCCCTTACAGTCCAGCATGATAATCCTGCAAGAACACTGCAAAAACAAGCATGATGACTCCACATTCCTCATTTACCTGGACAGAGAGCAATTCTGACTGACTTAGTTTTCACCTGCAGTGCTATTACAAAATTCACCACGGCATTGTCACTCAAAGCATCCTCAACATGTCCAGCATATCCCGGCCTAGAAAATAATTGAGTTCACTTCTCCATCTGCCTTCCCTTCCCTCTTCTCACCCTGTCCCACAAAGCAGCAGAATCAAATGAGAGCACATAATAGAGCTCCAGACCTACAGGAATTTCAATTGAGGCAATATTTAGTTGATCCAAAGTGAAGATACCACAGCTGAACACGTGATGCATTGAGAGGCTGCATAGAACAGAGGCTAGACAGTGCTAAAGGAATAAAGTAGGAATTCATTAAAAAGTCTTTATAAGGATGCACCTTGGGCAGTGCAAGAGCCCGGCTGAGGATACACACAGGATGGCTGATGGGTCACGGGTTTTCACACTTTTATAAGCTTTGGTCTATTTAAATATTGGCGTTAATTGTTCAATTACAGCTCCAGGTTATGCACTCCCATCCTCCCAGATTGCATTCCTCAATCTGCTGTTGTTTGCACTTTTTGGGCCTGAAGCTACAATGGTATCCTTGGTTCTGGGGCTGGAAAAGGATTGTTTGTCTGACTGAAATGTAAGGACAATTTGTTTAACACATTATATAAAGCTCAGAGTTATATACTAATACAGTACAGAATCTGGAAAATATGAAAGCTAAAACTTAAGGCATCTCGGGAACCAAAGTACACCTGTCTCTCACACACAGCCTCTTCTGGTAGGACTAACTCACCTGTAGCATCACTGGTTGCTTCATCAGAAAAATAAACTCCATGACCAGGAGTACTTTTCTTAATGAACAGTGTCCCTTAGTGCCAGCTAGATGACCAAGACCAGGGAGATGACTGATGCCATGTCCCAAGAAAGCCTGGCAGAATGACACAAATTTCAAAGAGTCTACTCTTTTACCAAGAAAATTTCACATCCAAGACAAGTGATTCAAGGCATGGATGGCCAGTCACTTCATAAGCTGTAATATCACAGGGAACAACAGAAAGCAAGAATACAGAGAACTGCTGGAGGTCCTGAGAGGATCCCAGAAGAGCAGCACTACATCATGGGTATTTCCATAAGGATTTCTATTGGCATTCTCTATCAAAATGCATGGGAAATGAGATCTCCACAGCTAACCAGACATTCTCCAGTTCCTCCAATGCTACAGGCTGTGTTCTACTCAGTATCTACCTTTCCCTGGGGCAACACTCCTTCCCACCCAAATTCACCCTTCCCATTACACAGGCCCAAGACTTATTTAGCACCACATGCAGG